ATCTCCATAAATATTTCGTTAACCTTTAGAAATATCGACATTTTTTATACCATATATTTTGAAGTAAATTAAATTTTCTATAACTTTTATTGTATGATATTTTTTAATATCTCCAATGGTTCGTAAAGTATATATTAACTTGACTGTAAGAAAACACAATTTAGGTATTTTTTCATGCTTATTAATTATAATAGTGCAGGTTAAAATAATTTTACAAAATTCTCGTATGAAATTTTCCATCAACTAATTTGATATTTATTTGATTTCATTTTATCACTGGCAACATAATAATCAGAATACAAATATAATGTTCACAATAATAATATATTAATTTAATCTCTTTCATCACTTAATTATTAGGGATTTCATTATATTTCCGTTTATAAAAATTAAATATCAATAGATTAAATAGTATCTGGTTTTTATTTTGGTACAATTGTAACTTATAATTAATGTTAGTTTGATCGTAATATCTGTTTAGTGGAGATCTAACATTTACCTATCGTCATTTGTCATTGTATAATTTAAAATTGATCGCGTTTTTTATTATTTTAAATAAAAAAATTTCAAAAAAACTGAGAAGTAATTATTAAATATTTTTAATCGGATCTGAAGAGACACAAATTCATGATGCCAAGCTTCCATCCAACGGTCAAAATATKCTTTCAGTGTTTCTTTTACAATATGCGGCACTGTTTAAAACCCTCAATCGTTATATGTTCTTATTCTTGCCTAACTTTGCCTTTCTTCTTACCGAACGTGGTTATGCGGACCGCCATATGCTTCGAAATCACATTTAAAACGAGTAGGTCTTTGTGGCAACAAGGATTTAATTCTTATTGATGATAATATACTATTTTTTTATTCGTTTTGATTGAATATAATATATATATATATATTGATTTATATTATTGTATGAATATGGACGTGTTAGCCGAAAATTTCCGTTAGAAGCGCCATCGGATCCGGTCGCAGTGGCCTATACGGCTATACGATGTACTTAAAAAGACGGATAAAACGTTTTGCCTATAAATAATGTGTACGAGTATAGAATGGACGCAGTGATGGCAGTTTTAAAATAGGATCGCGTCTCGGTGACTTTGACGCGTGGGGGCCGTCGCGCGGAGCAGTGAAAAAAAAAAATCGATATAGTCACACGCGACCGTGTGTGATAATTCACGAGCCGTGGCGGATAATTCTACGCGGGGGCCGAAATCCCAACGGCTGTCACGGCCGCCGCCGCTTCGCACCCCTCCGATTGTCAGCACGGCGTGACGTCACCGGGCCAATGCTGACCGGGCGGCGGGGCGGGGCGCTGGCCTGCTGGTCCAATCGGGGCCCGGCGACCCCTTCTCCCCCACCCAGTCGGCAGTCCGGGACCCGTT